CACTGTGAGGCATGCAAACTTTAGCAAACGGGGAAAAAAAACGAGAGAGAGGCACTAAAATTTGGTATAATCGTGTACACAAAGCATGTATATCTCCCATCATCTTCATGGTAGTTTATTGGTTAGAAGCTCTTTCCATCCCTCTTCCTCCACCACGTACAAGGAATACCAGGAGATAAGGATCATAGGGGTCACCACTGATCTTGTCCAACACACAATGTTAACTGCTTTCTGAGAAACAAATTTGGATTTGCTTGTCAGGAACTTAAGTGCTCTAAAAGTATTAGATCGACAAATCCAATTTCAGAGAATAAGAGTATTCAAAGCTCAGTTGCCAATTCTTTGATGGCCTATTAGCTTCTGGATTATTCCTACTTTTAATGGAGAGTCATTAGGGAAACTTACTCAAAGTAAGGGAAAAGTCTATCAACACAGAGCCCACATTCCAATGTCTCTTCCTGAGTCCATGAGGTTGTCAACATAGAGCAGAACCTCAGCTACCATTACCAGAATTAGCCAACACTTACAGGGGGAAATAGCTTCCCTACCAAAGGTCTGAGCTTCCTTAAGACTCCTTCACTTTTGTCAGTCCTCAGATGTCTTCAAGCAAATGTTTTTAATTTCCTTAAATCTAAGAAAAATTTTAAAAAATATGCCAGAGGGCACATGTGGTCTCCAGGGAGAGAGAGAAAGCACCCCTCTCCAATAGGGCATGGCTACACCACAATCCCTTCTCTTCCATCTCTCCATCCTGTTGGGATTTGGGGCATGCATGTACACATACCCAGCAGGTTTTCTTAAAGTGCCAGGGCTGGGATTTGAACCACATGGTCAGCCATGTTGGGATCCAGATTCCTTAACACTACATAGGGCCAGCAGACTTTTTTTTTCTTTGTTAAGAGAAATTCTTGCTATAGGGTGTGTGCCCTCACCAGAGACAGAAATCAAGAAATCCCCTCTCCACCCCCACCCCCCAACCCCAGGGGGATGGCCACACCTCAAACTCTTCTCTTCTCCTCTCAGGATTTTAGCAATGCATGGACATGCACCTGGTGTGAGGCTGTTTTGTTTCCCCCCCGCTTTTTTTTTATTTTTTTCCTATAGGGCACATATGCTCACTAGAAAGACAGAGACAGAGAGGCAGAAAGCAAGAAATCACCCCCCAGGGGGATGGCCTCGCCGCAATGCCTTCTCCTCCATTCTCCTCTTGGGATCTTGGGCACGCACGCACACGTGCCTGGCGTGAGTTTAAGCCTCTGGGTCCGGGACTCAGAGAACCGCGGTTGACTGTGTGGGAGTTTAGCAATGTAACCATCATCCCATCTGTTGATCCCTCAGCAGATGTTTTTAAAACTATGTCGCAAATGGGGCCAGCAGGTGGAATGGTGGTTAAAAGCACTGGATTCCCACATGGCCTACCACGATTCAAGTCCTGGACGTAGCGTTTTGCTTTTTCTATTTCCCTTTCTCTCTCTCTGTCTCTCTCTAGTAAAATTAAAATAAAAATAGTAACAAATGGAATTAAATAAATAAATATTAGGAAAAACCCTATGTAGCAATCAGCTTTTCTAGATGTTCTCTGCAGATGACCTAGTCCAAATTATTGGTCTACCATTACCGTCTTACATTTTCGTACTTTCATAAACTATAATTTGTTACTGGCCTCAACTTGTAGACAGATGAGGGGCCAGCTCCTGCTCTGCTGTCAAATTCATCCATCAAGTGCAACAATGCCTGCTCAAGTGAAACTGGATTCTACATGGTAACCACAGTTTGAATCACTGGCCTGAAAAATGCTGGGCATGTGTGTGAGTGCCCAAGATCTAAGTGTCTGGAAAACTGGAAGGAGATCATGGGCATGACTGCAAACCATGGAGCATGCTCCTTTCTCTTTCATGTGCACATGTGTTCTATCACAAATAAAGGAAGAGAAACAAAAATGAAAACACATGTAGACAAATGATCCATGTATGTGATTTACTTTTTCAACTTTTTTGAAGTAGATTTTGAATATCAATTTTTTTTTTTTTTGGTTGTGATAGGGTACGTGTGCTCACTGGAGAGACAGAGAGGGAAAGAAATCACCCCAGGGGGTATGATCACACCACAATCCCTTTTCCTTCATTCTCCTCTCAGGATTTTGGGCATATACACTCATGTACCTGGTATAATTTTCAAGCAGCCAGGTCTAACACTAAAACTGTGGTCAGTCATGTGGGAATCCAGTGCCTTAACCACCTGCCTGGCCCTAGAATACCAATTTTGTCCCATTGAATTATATAAAAAATTTTGGTGGGCCCAGCAGATGGTGTAATGGCAATGTCGCTGGACTCCCATGTAGTTGACAGTGGTTCAAGTCCTGGACCTGGTGGCTTAAACTCATGAAGGTTGTGTGTACATGTGTGCCCAAGACCCTGAGGAGAATGGAGAAGGGATTGTAGCAATGGCCATACCCCCAGGAGGTGATTTCTTGCTTTCTGTCTCTCTGTCTCTGTCTTTCTGGCGAGCATACACGCACTATAGCAACAACCTTTCAAAAAAAAGTTTTTTTTTTTGTTGTTGTTTTTGGAGAGATTTTTGCTATAGGGCGCGTGCGCTGGCCAGACAGAGAGAGACAGAGAGATAGAAAGCGAGAAATCATCCCCGGGGGGGATGGCCACGCCGCAATCCCTTCTCCTCCATTCTCCTCTCAGGATCTTGGGCACGCACGCACATGCACCTGGCATGAGTTTAAGCCACCGGGTCCGGGACTCGAACCGTTGTCAACTATGTGGGAGTCCAGTGACGTAGCCATTACACTAACTGCTTGTCCCAAAAAAATTTTTTTTAATTTCTGGAGGTTTCCATAATTTGAAAAAGAAAATCTTACTATTATTGCATATTAAATATCTATACTTAAACATGGAATAGAAATTAGCATGTATTCATAAAATTTTATTTTTCATTATACATGATTATGTGCACACATGTATGTGAGAGAGGGGAGGTGCACCTCCACGAGGTCTGATCACACTCTATCTTCCTCCTCTCCTCTAGCCTGTCTTATCCTGGTGCCTGTACACATGCCTAGTGTGTTTTCAGGTTGACAGGCCAGGAACCTGAACCACGGTCACCACATGAAGTCTAACTTCTTTTGAGCAAAGCATTAGCACTATGCTATGGAGCCAGCCTGATTGTAAAACTTTTTGATCAGCTGATATTTTGCTAATACATGAAACAGTTTGAAATACTGAGTATTCCTACCAATTATATATTGTTATCACTTGTCACTGCATTGCCAAATAGAAATAACACAGATTAAATCAGCATATTATAATTATCCATAAAATAAAAATATTTGAAAAACATTAGTATGTATTTCATTTTAAAAGGTGTACAACTGATGAAATTCATGAGCAATGGATGTTACATCCTTACCTTTAAAGTACACTTATTAGAAACCAGCAGATGGCGTAATGGTTATGTTAGACTCCCACATAGTCGACTGTAGTTTGAGTCCCGGACCTAGCAGCTTAAAACTCATACCAGGCATGTGTGCGTGCATGCCCAAAATCCTGAGAGGAGAATGGAGAAGGGATTGCAGCATGGCCATTCCCCTAGCGGATGCTTCCCACTTTCCATCTCTCTCTGGCAAGTGCACACGCACTATGGAAAAAATCTCTTAAAAAAATACATTTATTTGGGAAGAGGAAACCTTTTATTCTTATGTGAATAAAGTATCATGCTTTTTTTGTATTTTAAATATTTACATATCTATTTATTCGTTGTGATTTTCAAGTCATTGGATCTAGGACTCAAATCCTGGTAGACCATGTGCAAATCCAGCACCTTAACCATCACACCACTGTCCCGGCCTGCGGGACCGTGGAACAGGTTCCTTGGGGGAGGGAGTGAGAGATGGGACAAACACACGCACACACACTACCAGGTGCTGATCAAGTCGTCTTCTTCCGTCTACTTCCGTTTATTCAGGAAAAATGGCGAGTTATATACAGCTGGTGGGCACCAATTGGCTGCCCGAAATGCAAATGAGATAGAACAGCATTAACCAATCATTGATGGGGGTGGTTCTCTCCCGTTGCCTAGAAACCCAACCACTTCCGGAGAGAACGGTTGGTCACATGATTTGAGAAAGGATTTGCTCAGTGAGGAAGTGAAACCTAATGGTTTCTAAGATGGCGGATAGCTCGAGATGGCTTCCGTATGCAGTGCTCGCCACACACCACAATCTGTTAGCCACTGGACATACATTTGAAATAAATGAGTGAAGTGAATTGAATCTATAAATTTAATCTACCTACTAGCCACTTGTAGTAGAGACCACTAGTTGCACCTACCTCAATTATGTATTCCTCTTTTTCCCTTTTTATTTCCCTGCCATACAACCACCTGGAATGAAAGCTATACATTCCATTCTTCCTTGCAGTGAGGTGGGGATGACTAAGTTTTGATCAATGATATTTTAAAAGAAGTGTTGGGGGAACAGCAGTTAGTGTAATGGCTATGTTGCTGGACTCCCACGTAGTTGACTGCGGTTCACGTCCCAGACCCGGTGGCTTAAAACTCACGCCAGGCGCGTGTGCGTGCATGCCCAAGATCCCGAGAGGAGAATGAGAAGGGATTGCGGCATGGCCATCCCCCCTGGGGGGTGATTTCTCGCTTTCTGTCTCTGTCTGGTGAGTGCACGTGCCCTATAGCAAAAACCTCTCCAAAAAAAAAAAGAAGTGTTGGGTACAATTTCTGGGAAATTTCCTTCAACAAAGCAATGTAACCTTTTCACTGCTCTTCTTGCTGGCCAGAACACTGCTGTGAAGACTACAGCCTGAACAGCAACCCTGGATGATGAATTGGACACCAAGTGCCTAGGTTGGTAGAGCAACACAGCAGCCTTGAAGTTCTTTTAAGTGGAAAGGCAACCCCCTTCTCCTTCATAAGCCACACCGGTATCTGGAGTTTTAGTTTTAAGCTGCTGAACTTAATTTAAACTGATACACTTTCAGTTGTTGGCATTACTTTTTTATTAGAAATTGTAAATAAGAAATTATTTCAACACCTGAAGACCAAACTACAACAGCAGATTCCGCAGGCTCAAGATTTTGAGACATC